ACCTCAGCCTCGGGTGTCCACAGGTGTGCAGAGCTGACAGCTCAGGACATGTGGGTGGGCACAGCGTCTGCCACAGGGTAGGCCCCTGAGCTGGATTTGGGGGATGAACTAAAGGTCTCAGATGAGGACTGAGGCAGTCGGTGGTAACAAGCCTAGGAAGAAAGGGGAAGCAGGAGGGAGCAGGAGGTGACGGAGCAGGGAGAGAGTCAGCCAGTGACCACCCTGAACTGGTGGCTTTGAGCTTTCAGAAGGGAGAAAGGCAAGGCCAAGACCAAGACAGAATGAGGAACGTCATGGAGGTGGTATGGCTGGGAGAGAGGCTGAGGAGTGATGGGAATTAGGCAGAGAGTGGAAAGCCATCTCCTCCTACCATCCTGAAAGACTGGGGCTCTGTCCCTCTGTCATATAGGAAGCCAGTGAAACCAGAACAGGACAGGCCTGCCCTGACCCCTTAGCAGGATGCCTCCAGTGAACAGCCTGCAGGGTGGGGTGGACACAGGGAGGCCAGCCAGGTGGCCAGTGCCACAGTGCATGGAGATGGGGCCGTGAGGAGAAGGGGATTGTGGCTGTGATCTGAAGGAAGACTGGGCGTGACCGAGGGTGATTGCAAGAGGTGTTAAACAAGTGCACCCACAAAGATTTACCAGGTGCCACACGCTATTGAGGAAAAGCCTGGGGAACCACAAGGGAGAGTCCCAGGCTGTCTTCAGGGAACGGGTTTCCTGGGGAAATGGCAGTTGAGCTGGACCTTGAGGGATGAGGTCGAGCTGGACCCTGAGGGACGGGGAGAAGGCAGCCAGGCAGGGGCAGGGGAAACAGAATCAATGGCCCAGGCAAAGGAGGTGCTGCCCGTGGACTGGAAGTCAAGACAGTCCACAGCATCTGGGCCACAGCCCAGGTCTGTGACCTGCCTGGGAGTCCTGCATGGTGGGACCCAACCTTCCCCCTTGACAGTGACAGCTGTTAGGTATCCGCTGATAGTCTCCTCCTATCTCATTGTCTATTGGACCCAGATTGGAAGTAGGGCTTACCCAAAGCCAGGCCCAGACCACCATAGCACAAGAGTTGTTGCAAAGATTCAGTATCTGGTGGCTACGTGGCCTTCAACAGCATGGCCTGCAGGTGGCAGTGTGGAGCAGCTCAGGGTGCTCTACTGGCGAATGTCCACTCTGGATGGGGGATAGCTGTATGAAGGTGCTGCTGTTATCTCAGGACTGGCCCAGGGTGGGGAGAAATCTACTCTCACCCTCTGGGCCACACCACCGAGAAGCCAACCCTCAGACATGAATGTGGCTAGTGTGGCCACCCTGGCCTGCTCTGGGCCCCACATGCTGGCCTCTCTCTTTCCCAACCAACCACCTGCTCTGCCATCCATAGAAAATTCAATACTGCTTCTGGCCAAAAAGAAAGGACAGTGGAATGTGCCCTTTAGAACCTCCTTCTGTGCTGTTGAGATTCCACTCCTGGGATTAAGAGTCTCCTTTGTGGGGGTTTCTCCAAAATTCATGGCTTTTCAGACTGAGTCCAAGATCTTATTGCAGTTAGGCTCAGGAATTTTGGAATGCAAAAAATGCTTTTGTCTCTACCTCCCTTCTACCACAGCCTAACTGTGGGCAATATCTTGTCCCTGTAAATAGTCTAAGGTCACAGCACAAAACTCATGAAGCCATTGTGTCATGGCCCAACAAGGCCCCATATCTAATCCGGAGGCCGTCACCTGCATCAGCCAATATTCCATGACTGCATGGCTGTTAGGAACACCTGTGAGTCAGGAGCAGCTGGCTAGAGCCCCACCCTGCAGGTGTGTTTCAGATTTTCACTGCTGTGACCAAAAGACCTGACAAGAACAATTAGGGGAGGAAAGATTTATTTGGGGACTCATAGTTTCAGAGGACTCAGTCCACAGAAGGCCAGCTCCATTCCTCAGGGCTCAAGGTGAGGCAGAACATCATGGTGGCAGAGTGTGGGAGGGGAATATACGCCCCAGGAACCACCTCCTCCAGCCACATCCTACCTGCCTATAGTTACCACCAAGTTAATCCCTATCAGGATAAATGCACTGATTAGGTTAAACCTCTTATAACCCATTCATTTCATCTCTAAACATTTTTGCATTGTCTCCCACATGAGCTGTTGGGGACACCTCCCATCCAACCCTAACTAGGTGGAAGCTGGCATCCACCTAGGTCTATGAATAGCAGCTTCCCCAGATGAAAATGTTCTGAAGTGTGTCAAGCACCTCGGATCCATGAATCATAACCGTGGTTGGGTTTTTTGGTTTTGGTTTTTTTTTTTTTTTAGATGTTCTTTATGAAGTTCCTGAGAAGATAAAATTGATCTTGTGTCTCTTTCTCATAACATTTTTTTTTTCCTAAATCAAAAGAGCAAAAGAGTGGCATCGGGCGGTATTCTTGTATCACACGTAGACTTCCTAATGATTCTTTCAAATTTAGGCACAGACCAGGAAGTTTCTCCACTTGTGATCATGATGGGCAGATGTCTGGAGGCCTGGGCTGGTCCCACAGTTGAGGGGTCCCCAGTGGAACTTGATCGTGAATTTCTGGCTCCTTCTCACAAATCTGCCTTAAAATTCCTTCCACCCTCGGCCAAAGGGAGACACCCTGATGTGCCACTGTGGTTGGTGTTTTATCGTCACAGCCTGTCAGGGTTTCCAGTGGCCCCAAGTTCACACCTGTTTCCCTCGGTGAACTCCCAATAGAGGCAGAGCACATGGGCTCAGAAAACAATACCCCAAAATTTGCTGCTTTAGACTTCAAACTGAGAGCTCTTGGGGAGCACAGCTGCAGGGAGGGTTTTCTCTGAAGCTCCCTTATCTGCCCAAAGACCAGATTTGCCAGAAAGGAACACAGTTGATTTCCAATCTTACTGAAATTCCATTCCCAAGGAATCTCAGAGTTGAGATTATACATGCGCATCCCAAAGCCTACAGAGCCCAGGCCTGATGATCAGCAAGACCTACCTGATCACATCTGCTTTTCTGTACTAAAGATTGTCCTCTGACTGCACAGGAAGAGACTAAAAATCAGACACCACACTCAGAGCCCAGAGGAACTTTGTCCCAGACCATTGATTATTCCCAGGCTCGTTCTCTCCCCCGAAAATACTTTCCTCCCCCTGTCGGATCCCCCTCCACTTCCCTCTCTCCTGTGAAGAGAGTATTTCAGCCTCAGCCATCTGACCCCTCTTTGAGTTTCATATTTTGTTTAGCACCTGTGCACTTTAAATGAATGCATCTGCCGCTTCTGTCGATCTATTGCCAGTTTACTATTGCACAGCAGACTCCGCTACCCAACCAGAGGAAAGTTTGAACTTCCCGACGAGCACATCCTATTCAATACCTCTAGGCTTGAAGCAAAAATGCCAGGTCCACCTCCCTCTCGTCTTCAACGCGTGTGCTCAGTTCTTAAGAGCACGTACTCGAGCTGTGAGATTCCATCCTGTACAAATGAGTTACTTCTGTGGGAAAGAGCATCACCCCGTAACACAGCATCAGGTAGAGACATTGACATTTCATCTCTTTATTCATTCAACCCAAGTGTTGGGTGCATATTCTGTGCAAAGCACAGCATTAGGGACAGGAATCCAGAGACCGCTGAGGGGGCTCACTCTGCTAAGGCAAAGACTCCGGTGCAGGGTGGCTCACTCTAATTGTGCAGCAAGGGAGGCTGGTTCTCAAAGAGGGAGTGAGGATGATTCCTAAGCCTTCTCTGCTGCCAAAGAAGAAAACTGCAAATCCCATTTTCCCCTAGAGCTAAGGACCAGTCTTTCCAATGCACTGGTCCATAGTAAAGCCCTTCTCAAATGCCTTTTATATCTCCTTGGCCATCTTTTTCTTTTTTTCTTTTTGATATCAGAGATTGAACCCAGGGGCCCTTAACCACGGAGCCACATCCCCAGCCCTTACATTTTTTATTCAGAGACAGAGTCTCACTAAGTTGCTTAGGGCCTCACTAACTCACTGAACCATGCTTTGAACTTGTGATCCTCCTGCCTCAGCCTCCCGAGCCACTGGGATTATGGGCATGCACCACTGCGCCTTGCTGACTGTTAGGAGGATCATGCCCACAGGATCTCACTCGTCTCCCCTTTTCTTCTGAGCCCTCCTGCTGTTCCCCATGGACATGGTGACTCTCCATGAGAGTAGTGAGTGTGGCCCCACCAGCGCCGTCACATGGGGAACCTAGTGCGTGGACCTCCTTCCATTGCTTGAGTATCATTCACCACACTTCCGGAACCTTCCGGTTTTATGCGAAACCAGGTTCCCATGCACACCCCATTTCTTTTTATGAGTTTGACTCTTAACTTTTAAAAATCAAACAGAAGCCTGCTCTCCTTGCCGTGCCTGTGAAAGTAGCAATAACTCATCCCCGCACCTTGCCACTTACATCATTCCTCTCCAAAGGACTTTCTTCTCCCTCTTTGCCTGGGTACAAATTTCCTTTATGCAGAAGGACTTTAAACCAGAAAATCTACAGATGATGAAAACATCAGCCACAGTTATTTCCTTTATGAATCGGTAGTGAAAATGTACCATTTTTCCCCAAAGCTGACTTTTTTTTTTAAATATGTTTTTTAGTTGTAGGTGGACACACTACCTTTATTTTATTTATATGTGGTGCTGAGGATCAAATCCAGGGCCCCAAGGGTACTAGTTCTACTGCTGATCCACCACCCCAGCCACTCCCCAAAGCTGGCTTTTACATCCCGGAATTAGAACTGACGTGCCCTTGCCTGATTCCTGGGTTAACCAGGTGTGGAGTTGAGACAGGGAAGGGCAACCTTCCACCTCTTTGCAGACCTGCCCTCGGGGAGCATAGCCGCTGCTGTAGGAGCTGCATCTGGCTCTCAGATTCGTTTCTCTCCCCTTCCCACCTCCCTCCTTCCAGCTGGCATCAAACTTGGATCCCAGGTGCTGTTTTCTGTCACTCTTTCCTTGGAAAAATGACCAATGGCCTTTCATGTCTGTGCTTGTTGTTTAGAAAGCCAAGCTTGGCCCTGCGGGTAACAAAGTGATCAGTCCTTCTGAAGACAGGAAACAACCTTCCAACAACCTCGACAGAGTGAAGCTCACCGACTTCAATTTCCTCATGGTGCTGGGGAAGGGGAGTTTTGGGAAGGTAAGAAGTGGAGGGGCTTGGGCAGAGAGTGGTGGGTTGGTTTTATTCTCCCTGAAGTTTCCAGAATAGCCCTTTAGACCTCCCTGGGTATTTGTACACGTTCCTCAAATGCTTCCTACTTCTTGTGATTAAAAACAACTGTATCCAGAGCACTAACAGCAGGTTCTCATGCGTCACCTGTTCAGAACAGAGAGGATGTTCCAAAATGTTAGTTGAATAATTTGCACAACTAAAAATTAAATGTGGGGTCATATGGGGTGGTGGAGCCGTCAGCCTGCATTCCTTCACTGGGTCTCAGTGGTCCCAAGACTCACGACCACTCCAGGAACTGATTTCCATCCTGCCTTTTTGAGTTCCAGGCGAGTGACGTTATAAAGGTCCATTGCATATACCCTAAGGATGTTTCTGAAAACTTGCATGAATTCAGACTAATCCTCATAGAGAATGTGAATATTCCTTTTAGCAACCAAAATAGCAACCCTGGGTGACAATAGGTATGCAGTGCAAATCTCAATCATTTAGAAGTTATACAAGTTCTGGAAGAATCTAATTTGTGGTGATGCGAAACATTTCCAAATTTGTATGTAAAGTTGGTATTCATTTTTCATCAGTATAATGACATGCTTGAGTCAATTCATTTATAAAGAGAAAAGGTTTATTTTTAGCTCATGGTTCCAGTCCATGATTGAGTGGCCCAGTTGCTTTGGTCTCTGGTGAGGCAGCACTTCATGGTGGGGCAGTCTCTTTGCCTTGTCAGCCAGGAAACTAAGAGGAAAAAAATGAAGAAACTGGAGTCTCACAGATCCCTTCAAGGGCATGTCATTCCCCCCAAAAACCCAAGGACTTCCACAAGGGCCCCACCTTCCTGAAGGTTCCACCTCTTCCCAAAAGCATCACCCTGGGGACCAAAAGCCTTTACACAGGACCTTCAGGGGACACTGCGACATGCAGCAAAATTAGCTAAGCAGTTTCCTATCCCACGGTTCAGACTTGCAGCTGGCCCGGTTCCTCCCGTGTTCAGGGTGCTCTGGGTCTGTTCCCAGGTGATGCTTGCTGACAGGAAGGGAACAGAAGAACTGTATGCCATCAAAATCCTGAAGAAGGACGTGGTGATTCAGGACGACGACGTGGAGTGCACCATGGTGGAGAAGCGGGTCCTGGCCCTGCTTGATAAGCCCCCATTCCTGACGCAGCTGCACTCCTGCTTCCAGACGGTGGTAAGGCCCGGGGGCTGCGTCTCTGAGGCCTGGTGCTCACCTGCCCTCAGCATCCCTGGGAGAGGCAGGATGGAATGCCAAGCCAGGGACAGGGACAGGTCCCACCCTTCTGGCAATGGCAGATTTGGGTCACCCCCCTCTGTGATGTCTTCTGCTTGGAGACGTGGCACTCATTCCATTTAATTCAGCAAACATTTACAGTGGGCCTCTCCTTCCTGGGGCTCTGCATCCTTCATGGGTTCCACCAACCAGATGGAAGATATTTTTTAAATTGCATCTGATGTACAGCCACTCTTTTGGGGTTCAAAAAAGTTAAGAATTAATTCACAGTCCTGCCTCTATGAGACTGACGACTTGTCCAGCTGCCATGCACGGCTTTGGGACCTCAGGAGATGCCATTTTATAAAAACGTGTGTTTGTTTCAGACACTCAACAAGAGTGGCAAACTAGGACCAGCCTTGTATGTCCCCTGAGCTGTAAGAAAGGTCACCAAAAAGAAATCCAAACACAGTATTTCATGACATGTGAAAATTAGATGAAATTCATATTTCAGCATGCATACATCATTTTCTAGGGACACAGCCCCACTCAGTCACTTACCTGTCCCCTGTGGCTGCTTTCATGCTAAGACGTCGGAGCTGAGTAGTTACAAGAAACACACAAAGCCTGAAATACTTATCGTCTAACCGTTTATGGAAAAAGTCTACTAACCCCTATCATAGAGCAAAACGTTTTGGAAGGGGTGGGCAGAATCCCAAAGCACTGATCTGTCAGCTGTGGGGTTGGCGATTGTCCTATAAGAAATCGAGACCTTTAGACGGCACCAGGTGGGCTTTCCCTTTAAATATGGCTCAATGGTCAGTGATCATTGTGGTTGGGACAGTTACTATTTCCAACCGCACCATGGTCAGAAATCGACTTGGTGTCTTATGTGTGTCTTTAAAAACCCCTGGGAAGGGCCCTCGTGCTTTGGGTCTGTAGAATCTCAAGATGGCCACAGAGCCACACCGTGTCAGCGCTCCAGGAGGCTGCAGAGCTATGTGTCAGCTGCGCTCTGGCCACACCCCGGGCTCCTGCCTGCTCTCAGCAGCACCCAGACTCCCCGCCCCAAGAGTGGCAGGGAGGGCTGAGCAGCAAGGTGGGAAGGGAAGCAAACCCCTAAATCCCAGCCCAGCTGCCGTCACCCCGCTCACACCAATTAAGCTCCAGAAAGCTACGAAGCAAAGACTCGAAGCTGATATTGAAGTTTCTAACTGAAGAGCCGGAGAGTGACGCTCCCCGAGCCGTTTCCTGGCTCTTATCACCGGCTTCACTGTGCTGCCTTTCTCCCTGAGCAGCACTTTAATGTTTAATAACCTCCGTGAAAAGGGGATGTTCTCTAGCAGAGAGCAGAGGTCAGCTTTTACCTCGTGTGCTGAGATGTTAGCTGCTCAGCCTCTCCCATCTGGCCCAGCGTAATGTCCTCATAAATATGCACACGTCTCTGGTTGTATGATGAATGCCCTGCGTGTGGCCAACACCTCATATACCAGTAACAGAGAAAAGGAAAATACAGGATTTGGGGACCTAGTGGTTACCAAAGAACATTGGATTAACCTCTCCTGTTATGGTCCTCCTTCTCCCCTACCTGACAGATGTCATTAAGCAGGTACAATTTAGAAGCCCAGCCTAATCCAAGGGGTGAGTTTTCAGAAGATCCATTTGAGCACATTACCACAGCAGCATGCCACCCTCCTTGACATTGCAAACCAAGTTTTACACACTTGCATCATCAAGAAACATTGGTGGGAATGAACTGATTGGCCCATATGGATTCCTCACAGTGCGCCTGGCTTAGAAATATATTATGCATGTAGGGAAAAAAGGAAGAATGTTTGAGGCCGTTACTGTAATGAGGAATGTATGTAACCAGGAGGCAGATAGCCATTAGTTCAGAGTTATGTAATGAGCGTCCATCCCAAGGCCCTTGTGCAGGAGGGTATATCGCTTATTCTTTAGCTGGGAAAAAAATGTGAAGGGCTTCAAACTGAGCAGATCTGCCAGCGCAGCCCAAGTTTGACTAATGAGGATGCAAACCAGGCTACCTATGGGGAAGGATCCCTGTTCACGTGTACACCTTTGTCTGCAGGATCGGCTGTACTTTGTCATGGAGTACGTCAACGGCGGGGACCTCATGTACCATATTCAGCAAGTAGGAAAATTTAAGGAGCCACAAGCAGTGTGAGTATTTTTTTTTCAGTCCTGTAATTCAGGGGGCCCAGTACTGTCAACTGGGAACTTCTACTATATTGGATGTCCAAGATGGCCCTGCTCATTTGGGAAACTTCCCAAGGGAATAGATGTCTTAACAGGTCCCTTCTAGATGTTTCCACAGGAGCTTTTTATTCTGTTGCCTGTAAATTGGAGATGCTGGTGCATACCCACGCCACCCTGTGCCACCCTTAGGGGTAGAGTCCCTCACTGCTCATTGAGCGAATGAATATTGCACACCCACGGTGCACCAGGCACTGGACACGTGAGGATGAGGCTCCCCCTCCCTGGGAAGCTCATGCTCTAACCTGGCTTTTGAGAAGTCACAGAAAATTATAATGCATGGCTCCAACTGTAGGGAAATGCCCAGAACACAACCCAAGCCCCCCAAAATTGGGGGTTGAGAGTAGCAAGTCTTCAGGTAATGCCCAACCCAGAGACAGGCAGGCCAGGAAGAGGATGTGGACAGAGGTGAGACCAAGTCCAGGCCTGTGGCTCAGCAGGTGGTGTGAGCCGGGAGAGAGCACAGGCAGGGAGGGGGGCTGAGAAAGAGGACAGAGGGGAGGGGCTTCACTGGGACTTGACCCCATGAGACCAAGTTCTCACAGCACCCTCTGGCTGAAGAGGGGAGCTGAGTGGGCAGGAGGAATGTAGGGGCTGGTACAAAGGGGTCAGTAGGGATCTTTTTAAGCAGACGAAATGGAGCTGGAATTAGGGCTTCAGCTTGGAGCCAGAGAGAAGCAAGCATCCTTAACAAACATTCTGGAGGAAGAAAAGCAGAATTCGGTGACAGAAACGTTTGTCTGTGATGTCCTAGCTTAGGCTTGGGTGAGGGCAGCTATCAGGAAGGTTGCGGTTTGCAAGGAAGAACCGCGAGCTCAGCTTGGAGTGTTTCTGTGGGATGCGCCTTGGATGCTGGGATGCAGGAGTGGAGCCGCGGGCTCCGTGTGGGGATGGAGGAGTCATCATGGATCAGAGGAGGGACTTTGATACCTGGAACACTGTCCCATTTCTCAGAGGCCAGGAAGTCCCTGGAAACTCAACAGAAGCAAACCTAAGCAAATGGCTATTTTACTTCCCCAAATTAGATGTACACCCCACTAATCAAGTTAGCCAACATGAATAGGAGTCCGGCCACTGTTCATCTAAAAAGATAAATCAGAGCAATCTTTGGCCTGTGCGGGATTATCTGCCCTAGGAGAGATTAACTGAAGGCACAATAGGGAATTCTTTGGTAGCAAGCTTTAAAAATATAAAGGGGATTTTTTTTTCTGCTTTTATTTGTTCTTAAATGTGTTTTAGAAATGCCTGCCTTATCTCCTCTCTTAACATTGTGAGTTATAGAGCATTAAAATGCTCAGATTGCAGAATAAAGCTTTAGAGCACAGAGCTATAAGAGCAAATAGCCACTTTATTTTCTTCTCTTCCCTCCCCACCCCTGGACTGGGGATTGAATCCCCGGGCTCTGTACCATTGTGCAACATCCAAGCCCTTTTTTATTCTTTGAGGCAGAATCTCACTAAATTGCCTAGGCCAGCCTGGCACTTGTCATCCTCTGCCTCAGCTGGGATCACAAGAGGGCACCTTTTTGTCATAAAACAACATAAACATGCCTTGCCCAATCCTCTTTTAATGTATGTGTATTACAGAAAAGTTTTTTTTTTAATTACGGGAAAAAAAAAAAACATGAAAATTGTAAAAATCAGCCATAATCCTATCTCTTCTGCCAGCTTCAGAGACGGTGCCCCATTCAAAGCCTAGCATTCACCATCAGAGATTTCACTTCTCTGCTCTTGTAAACAGTATGTGTTTACTTTAGGTCTCCCGGGTGTGATATTTGCCCAGGCGCAAACTTGTGGTTCTTCAAACTTCAAAGACTCTTAAATGCTATGCAAATTTCAAAACATCCCTCTACATTTTCTCAGAGTTTCAGATATTAACCTACGAATGATTTGGAAGGGATGGTAGTAGCTGCTCTTATTATGAATTATGTAAAAGGGCAGACTCAGGTATGAATCATGGTGTACGTCCCATTTATCCCAGCACTTCAGCGAATGAGTGAACTAGCTCGAGTCCATCACGGCTGCCTTTGTCATCCAGGGAGTAATTGTATGTTCAAACACCAGTGCATTCTGCCCATGAATAGGAAAATGGAAATTTACTCTACTCTGCCATGTTTCCTGACATGGAATACTCTCACAGGTAGCCACTCTTTAAATGATTCTATTAGAAAGTATTTTGTCGGTAGCAAATTCGCTAACCACCTTCCCCAGTGAAGAAAAATAAGCCTGTCTCATTGACACGGATGAGCTGGAGATGGCAGAGAGGGGCTGACGGTTGGAAGAACACCTGTGGGAGGATGTGATCTTGGGAAGCCTAAGGTCTTACACTCTTTTTATCTCTGATGCCTGAATGTGAGACTCCAGAAGATACGGAAGTCTTAAGAAGCCAGGCAGAAACCCGAACCATTTTCTTTTGCAGATTCTATGCAGCAGAGATTTCCATTGGATTGTTCTTTCTTCATAAAAGAGGCATCATTTATAGGTGTGTATCTGAAGCCCTTCCAGCAGCAGCACAGTGGAGAGGTTTGCTGGGCCTCCCTGGGCATGTCATTCTGTGATGGGGACTCTGGGCATGGCATGGTGTGGGTAACCCCCAGGGAACACGGATCTGCTGGGACTACCTGTCTCTGCAACCTTGAGGCAAACCAGAGTCACTTCTGATCTCTAGACCTGAAAGATTTTAGATCTCATTGTTACTTTCCATAAGAAAACATGGTTTTCTCTCCTGACAGCTCCTTCCTCTGCCTTTTGTTGGGAATGGAGGTCAGAGCGATGGACAGAGAATTGTCACTATAGATACTCAGCAGGAAAAGAACATGGGGAGCTGGGGAAAAGCAAGGGGGAGCTACTGAGTCAAATTCCTTTTTTCATTATCTGCAGTCCAAGTGTGGCACCAGAGAGAGAATGTCTTCCAGTACTGACTGAAGAGTACCTAAAAGGACATTGGTACCAGAGGGAGGAAGGGTGTGAGGTGGTTTGAAACTCATAATTTCTCAAACCCGGCTGTGATTCAGCCCCACCCCACCCTACCTTGTGCACGATAATGAATCAAATGAGTGGGATCCCCTCAGACCTCATAAATTGGATTGTCTGGATTCCTAGGAACAACCATTCAATGTGCCAGTTCCTACCATATCCCAGACTCTGTGTGAGGCTCTGGAGATATAAAGACACAAGAACTCCTGGCCTCTGGTCTCCAGGGACGTACAGTTTAAATGCCCCTGAGATGGCAACTAGTTAAGTATCCTTCTGTTTCACCAGCTCCAAAGCAAACCCTGACCTGTCGTGGGAAGGACTCTGATGTTGTCCTGCTTCTTTGCAGGGACCTGAAGTTAGATAATGTCATGCTGGATTCAGAAGGACATATCAAAATCGCTGACTTTGGGATGTGCAAAGAACACATGATGGATGGAGTCACAACCAGGACCTTCTGTGGGACTCCAGATTACATCGCCCCGGAGGTAGGGATCCCCGGTCCTTCTTTTATAGACCAGGAAATCAAAGGGCAAACACAACCCCCACTGGAATATGGGGTCATTCGTGAATCACCTAGGTCCGTGTGTGGGTCATGGCCACCAAATAGACTGAACAATAGATGAACGTGTAGGAAGAGGAAATAGGAGAGCTTATTGCACACAGTAGGGCTCATCTTGTGAAACTTTGGTTTGTGTTAGGTGTGCATGTGGGCCAGCTTCAGGGTAAACCACATTTCTCACGTGACCGTGGCCAAGGTAATTTAAGAGGCTCTGATGGGTGGGGGAGCGGCCTGTGAAGCACTCCCAGAAAAGCTGGGTTGCAAGGTGGTGGCAATAAGGGCTTTTTTAGCAACCTCCGAGGAATGCGTGCTCCGTGCTACTTGATGTTCAGTGTCTAATTTAGGAAGAACCTCTGGGTTTGTTGAAAGCTAAATGGTTCCACGGTTTGAATCCTCCCAGCAGTGGGCTGTACTGCTGTGTCTTTGGTAGAACACGTACTGAGGAATCCTCTTCCTGTCTTGGGAAGCTTCATGTGTGCCAGTGATAGAATGGTGTGTGACCCTGGGTCAACATGAAGGCCACTTCCTGTCCTCACACAGCCCTGCAGATGCAGCAGCCTTTCCCCACCTGCGCCCCAGCCTGATGGAAAGTGTCTTCGTCAGCTTTTTTTTGCCTCTGTGACTAAAAGGACCCAACCAGAACAACCGTAGAGGAAGAAAAGTTTATTTAAGGGCTCACCGTTTTGGAGGTCTTAGTCCACAGAAGGCCAGCTCCATTCCTTGGGGCTGGCGGTGAGGCTGAACAACATGGCGGAAGAGAGAGGCAGAGGGAAGCAGCTCACATCATGATCAGGAAGTAGAGAGACTCCACTCTCCAGATACCAAATATATATACCCCAAAGCCACGCCCCCAATTCCCATTCGGCCACACCCTCCCCCTTCAGTGACCACTCAGTTAATCCCTATCAGGGGATTAATTCACTGATTGCGTTAAGACTCTCACAATACAATCATTTCTCCTCTAAACCGTCTTGCACTGTCTCACACATGAACTTTGGGGGGACACCTCATATTCAGACCATTACAGAAACTGGTGCAAAGTTGGACCAACCCGAGGTCTTCATAGAGCCCCCCTAATGGCTGTGGACAGTGGATCCCACATCTGTCCATCATAGTGGCCCATGCACTTGTCTCAGACCCAGAGGGAATACCAGGAATGACAAGCTCGGAGTCAGACCTCTGTGAGCTTCAATCTGCTCTTGTCTGTGGACATTGGGAACTCAGGCCAGTCTTTTAGTCCCCCGCACCTGTCTTTCTTTTCTCTGATGGGTGGGGGAGTTAGGGATAATGACACATTCCTGTTAAGAACTGCTACAAGGACTAACAGCCCTCGTGCAACATTTGGCACCTAGTGGACCCTCATTATTTGTACCTAATATGACTCACAATGATGGTCACTGTTCCAGAAAGAAAACTGAGTTTTATTCTTCTCTTAAGGGCTTTTTTGTTTGTTATTTTCTTAGACTACATTCAAACAGACTGCACTTGGGAAATCAAGTTCTGATGACATGGCCATAGGCGACATGTCATCTTGACATATAAGTTATTGGAGGTTTTCCCTCAAAAGCTCACTCATTGGTACCTCCAGGCATAACCTGAACTTAAATAGCCACATTTTTCAATGTGACAAATTGATGGTACAATAAAAACTACTCCTCTGGATGTAGTGGGGATTCGGAAGCCTCCTACTGACTGACAGGTGCTGAGCACCAGGGAACAACCCACCAGATGCCATATAGATTGGTGACAGAGGATGGCAGCATTTCCAGGAGTGAAGGTGACTTTGACCCTCGTCTCCAGTAAGGCCAGGTCTGCCGATCACACGGTCAGCTTCCCGTGATGGATACACGCCAACTGCGTGACGGCACCAGGGTTGACAGGGTCCACTTTCCAGAGAGTTAAGATTCACCCATTTGAACGGCTGGTCTTTGCTGCTCAGTGTCCTTCCTATGTATGAACTTCCTGTTGCTACTGCATCAAACAGCCACAGGTCAGCAGCTCGGAACACAGGTTGAACACAGAGCCCTGGAGGTCAGAATCAGTCTCTCTGAGTTAAAGTCAAGTTGTTGGCAGAGCCGTTCCTCTGGAAGCTTTCAGGGAGAACCTGTTTCCTGGCCTCCCCCAAAAGCTGGAGGCCGCCTCTTTCCTTCTCAGGGTGCCTTCCTTCTCCCACGTCCCCTGCCTCCTGGCATCTTCTGGCCCCTCTCCGTCTTCTCCAGCTCCAACCCCCAGCTTCCCTCTTCTCTAACAAGGACGTTTGGTTCTGTTGGGCCCCTGGGTGATCTGGGATCATCTGCCCACCTCAAGAGCCTCACCCTGTACCTGCAGAGTCCTTCTTACTATGAAAAGGTGACAGTGACAGGTCTTGGGGACGTCATTCCACCTTAATCACACTTTGGGCAGATCTGGGGAACTTGGGGCCTCTTCATACTCAAGGAACAGCCTGCTCTCGCTCCAGATGCCCTTTTCCAAAGCCTCCCTTCCTTTCTTCTCTTTACGCCCAGTAATAAATGGCGTGATCACCGTTTATTGAGTGCTTGCTGTGTACCAGGTGCCACAGATACTTTCCCTCATTTATTTCTCCTAACAAACCCCACCAGGGAGTTCCCATGGGGCCACTGTTTCAGCTGAGGTGACTGAGGCCGCAGTGACTTATGTGAGCCCCCAATGGTAAGAAACACCATCATCCGCCTTCCTGCTCAGTGACTACTGAGCCATGAAGTATGCAGACCACCTTCTGGAAGCTTCCTGTGCCACGCAGTTTGCCTTCAGGGATCCAGAAGCACATCTGGCTGCCCCTGGGTGCTCACCCTTGGCAGAAGTGGCACTCTGCAGACATCAGCAGGCACAGCTGTGTCTCAGTCCCGATGACTTTCCTGAGCCCACGAGCCTCTCTGTTGGGACAGAGTTAGTGTGACTTCAGGTCTTGTCTGCTTTGCTGGCCTTTTTCCTGGTTGCATTCAGGAAGTTGATGCATTTGGCCTCAGGAATACCTGCTGTATCGGGAAAGACCGAACAGGTCCAAGGTTTCAGGATTTTCTCAGAGGTTACAGTCATTCTGTCTCCTGTGTAAATCTTCCTGTCAGGCAGAGGCAGCATAATTATCATAGGTGGCATTTCCCCTAATAGGCAGAGCAGGGGCTTAAACATGTATGGCTATTTGTTCAGAAACCTTGAAATCGATTAATACTGTAGCATCTCTCTAACCAGTAATGACAGGGCCAAGGCTAGAAATGTCACTCACAAAGGTGGCTGGGGACTTGAGATGAACACCCACGGAAGGGGGGGGGTGCTAACTCAGAAAATGATCCCTGAAGCTGACACAAAGGGTCCTCTTTGCTTTGACATGGAACACATAATTCCAGGGCCATGAGGGTCCCTGAGAAGGCGGAACAAAAGCTTCACGTGGGGCTGATCCTTCTGGGAGTTGGCCATTTCAGGATGTGAGACCCTGTCACAGCCAGATGTCTCTCAACGGCCGAGAATCAGACTCCAAGTCGTAGCACTGTCCTCTCCTTCCTGGAAGAAGGAGACGCTGCACGGGAAGTGTCCCTCTGTGTGCCCTGCTGCAGGGCAGAGAAGCTTGCTTAGAGTGTGCCACATGAGGTTGTCTTTGCAGACTTGGTAGGAGACCATGCAGGACCACACGCAGGGGACCTCACCCATGATGTGTTGCCGTCTACTCTGTACCAAGCCCTCTGGGCACATCTTCTTGTTTGTCACATGTTATACATGAGCAGAGGTTCCAAGACTCGCCCAGGATCTCACAGCTGGTGACAGGCAAAGGTGGATGTGGACCAGGGCTTTCTGACCCCAGAACCCATACATTCTTTTCACAGATAGCATCGTCTCCAGAGTTAGGGGAGGAAGGGCACTAAAACCAAGCACTCAGTCGTAGACTATCTCTTCTTGGGCGTCTCTGAGGAGAGGAGGGACCTGCCTCCTTCTGAACCGGGATCCAGGTGCTGAGTCATGACAGAGACACAATCAGTGACTCAGAATGTGATCCAGCCACTAATGCTGGACAAACCCCTGAGAACCAGAAAGGTGAACCAGAAACACCCAAGCCCCTACCCAGCAGGTGGCATCTATCGGTCCACACATTCATCAGGTGCCTACCAAGTACCTGGCACTGTCCCAGGCCTGGGGATGCGTGGCCAGTAGGGGGCCCTGGAGGAGATCTGCCAGGAGGGCCTTGGGGAGTTAGACAGGGATGATACAGCCCAGGAGAGATGTGGATTTCAAGACAGGGACAGGACAGTATTCCTCTTGGCGATATCAGATGTCACCTTTGCTGTGGCTAAAATCACTTGGGAGATCATTGGGCATGGTTGGCTCTCCTCTGCCTGGGAGCAGATGGGCAAGTCCAATGAGGGTTGGAGATTGGACAAGAGGGAGCAGGAGACCTATCCCCAGGGTGCAGCTTCTGCAGTCTAGCCCCGTGGGAATGCCAGGCCAGTGATGCCCATGGCAGAGGCCAGGCAGCTGCATTTTTATATAAAACCCACCTGTTGTTCCAAGTGGCTCTACCATGTAGTAAAAGCAACCTTCACCATGAGACACAGCCAGGGGCCATCAAGTGTGACCTCTCTTTTGGAAGAGTCAAGGTCCCCTTTGCAGAGGGAGCTGCAGCTTGGGGTGGGAGAAAAAAGACCAAGTTATGCGCAAAAGAACAGGGAGCCGTAGCCTTACTCCAAAGAAGGCAGGCATTGGCGAGCTCAGCCTTGGCCAGGACCTCGGAGGTCAAAAGGAAGGGAACCCGGATTGTGGCTCTGTGGGACTTCAGTTGGTTCCAAAAAGAGTGAGTTGTTATGAGACACTAAGAGTGGCCCACCCCTGCACTTTGGCTTCCTGTTTTACCATGTGATCTCTTCCTCACACAACTGTACTCTGCCATGATGCCATCTGCCCTGTGACACTTCCAAG